AGACATCTTTCATGTAGACCAGCAAAATCCTCGTCGCCAATTTGTTATGTCTGAGTTCAGGTAATCAAGACAAGAAAGTTTCTTACTTCTTTAAGGTTTATTCAAACCCACAAACAATTCACACTGCCGGCAGTTACATGATTAGGCAGCAGGTGCACTCACTTCCATTATTACTCTACACCTTTTATAGGTAACATCATGTGAACTACAGCGCCATCTCCTGACAAGTACATAAACACAACAAACTGCTTCCTCGCCCGGGCCCAAAACTCTCTCTGTCAAGCAGCAACTGGATATACTCTGTTTCAATGCTTACTCTACTTCCAGCACCCTCTGTTCCCATGGCCCAGGGATTCTTCGGACCCATCACTCACTGGTTCTTGGAGAGCGAGGGGGATCTGGGACACAGCTCACCGTCAGCCGTCAGAAGGGCAATGCTGATGCCTGACGGACCGACGCTTCTACTTAACAACCCAAGCAGAAGGTGTGGCTCTCCACATGGGACATCAGACTGCGCCTGCCCAGCAAGAAGTTAAGTCCCAGATACATTGGTCCCTTTCCCGTTATTCGTCAAATTAACCCTGTCACTTATGAACTGCACCTACCCCCCCCCCCCCCCCCCCCCCCCCCACTACATAATTCACCATACCTTCCATGTCTCTCTGATCAAACCTTATCACCTCCTGTTTTTAATTCTCCCACAGACCCTAGTCCTGTAGACGAATCCCCCAAGCCCCCCAACCAACTGGGGGTTGTAATACACGATTATTTGTATCTATTGTCAAAAGTGCTATGATTACAAGTAAATCAAATGGAAAAATTTAATTTATTTTGAATAATTGATTATATATATATCTCTCCTCTGAAAGATATAATCAGTACATTTCATAAACCTCTGACGTAATGTATCCCCCCCCACATTTTTTTTAATCGGCCTTATAAATTCTAAAAGTTAGTCTACACACTTTCTATGTAATGTTAATGTGGACAATGTTATACTGTTTTTTTCCTGTAATCAGTGCAAAGTGGAAACCATCATGATTCTATTGAGCAATATGAAGAATTTACTTATTGCACAATCAGCATGACTGAACAAGTGCTCTTTTGTGATGGGTAAAGCAGCTATCAGGCCTCTGTTATGCTCTGCTAAAAAACTTTGATTTGACCACAGCTAAGCTGAAGAGATATTCTCTGTAAATGTCACTGACTGACGTTAGCTGGTAATTACTTTAAGCATCCTTATCTCAAATTTTGTTGTGGTACTTTAGTCTGCCCTCTTCACCAATGTGATCCAAATGGACTGTGGGACATTTTCCTTCCCAGCAATTCTTACATTTACTTATCAAAAGAGGTCATGGATAATAAATACAGCCAATTTGAGGCTGTATCCAACTGGTTGATTTTGTGACCTGTCCAGGGGCTTTAAAACATCTGCTCACTCTTGTTCTCTCTCTCTCTCTCTCTCTCTCTCTCTCTCTCTCTCTCTCTCTCTCTCTCTCTCTCTCTCTCTCTCTCTCTCTCTCTCTCTCTCTCTCTCTCTCTCTCTCTCTCTCTCTCTCTCTCTCTCTCTCCTCCCATTTTCTGCTTCTACTGTATCTTCACTTTTTCTTCAATTTGAAAGATGCCACATGTTATTTGATCAAGCCGAGGGACTTCATCAGTCGTTTTCTTTGACAAAACATCACATGATAGACTGTGGTGAGTCCACCAATTCTTGTTTGATCTTACAATGGTTTTTGGGGAGAAAATAAAAATCTGTTAAACTAAAATGCTAAATTTACTTTAAACAAACGGAAGCAGCATACGTTTAACTAAACTATTGTTATTCCCACATTAAAGTGTGACATATTAGTAATGATTGTGTTTTTATGTTTTATGGGAACATTCCACTAAACCTAATCATCACAGAAAATTTTCTGCATTTTTACATTTTCACAAAAAACATCACTTAGTATGATTTCTAATCCATTTTGCTCATGGTGACCACAAAATGTTCCCACAAGGATTTTGGATATTGCCATATTTGTGGGGAAATTTTGTTACCACAATGTAGGGAACACACACACACACACACACACACATAAAAAGCATGCACAGTGTATTTGATTTTTTTTACAATAAACCACAATACCATTGTGTGCTTTTGTTTTAGAAATTGACATCTTTTCAATTTTGCAGTGGGTTTTTACACATCTAGTAAGTTAGTGTTATTAGCAGTTGTTTTTCCGATTTGGTACGGGAAGTATCAAGACAGTAGTTTCCTGTTTTCAGTAAAGCTGTCTACATGAAACTTAGATGAGACATACAGCTGTAACATAAATATATACACATGGATGCCCCATTAACGGCTATTTCTATAGGCCGCTATACATAAGCTGGTCTTTGAACACTTGAGAGTTGACTGTGTGTCTTTAACCATACTCACGTGTGAATATCTATAGACTTTAGCACCAATAGGATTTAGTTTATTATAAATATTAGATAATTCTGCAAATGGATTTTGCATATTGAGTTAAAACACAAATTAACACATTCTCACCTGAAATGTATAACTTTGTGGTTGTTACATTCATAGGCTACCCAGTGCTGTGGTATTTCTGATTTGTCAGTGAAGACTGTTGAAGACATGCTGAAAACTTGTGGGAAACACAATTAATGGATAACACAAACATTAATTTAAAAATTCACTATATCCTCTAAAGTTATAAAATTGATAATAATTATAACATTTTACTGTTACAAATATCTTGCTTTTTTAGAATATCTTGTAAAAAAGTACAGATTAATGCCAGAGGATAAATGGGACAGTAAAAAATGGTCTTGCCCTCATAATTAGACAAGTAAGGGTTAAAATGGCAAAATGTGTTGTCCTTCCCTTTGTGAAAATCCTTTACATGGCAAATTTTTATTGGTGTTTCTTTTCTTTGACTCAAAGATGAGCATGGACAAAAACTTCCATTCAGCCCTCATGAGGTCAAAGCAGTGAGATGCACATTGTGACTTCTGCATGGCTCCAGTTGCTATTGTGTTCCTAATGTTTTGTTTGAAAACAAAGACGGGATGGCAGCAACTGGACAGCTTGACATTCAAATATTTCATATATAGCAATCAGAATGCCCTTTGTGAGGTCAGGAAGGTCTATCCGTTTCAAATTGCTGTTTGGTGTGGTCTTGTGGTGTGGTCAATGTGCCACACATTAGACAAACCACAAGTGTCTTGTTTTGAAAGACCAAAGCATTTGAATTATTTCCGGAATTGGTACTCATTTCACATTAACCTCAAAATGCATGACTATATGCTTACAGTTTAAGGTAATGTATTTAATTCAAGTCTTGTGTTTTAAAACAAGCTTTAGTGTTGAGAAATGCCTGGCTGAAAGACGAAACAGGTGATATGCCTTAAACTTAAATGTCCTTCATGAACAGTATGGCTCTTAATGTCAGCAAAGTTGCAAATAGTTTATTGTTTCATTGACCACTTTACAACCTCATTACTCAGCTGGAGTCTGCTTTACAGAACCAAAGCTTAGGCACAAAACAAAAGGGTTGCTGACATTCAATTTTACCTTCCAATAAAAGCTTCAGAGTGCATGGACCTGAGTGGAGACAGATTCTCAGGACCTCCGAGCACCTCTTTAATCAACGATAACAATACTGCTGGAATTTCATATACCATTTCAGCAGCAGACCGGTAACACTTGGAGGGAAGCCAGAGTTAGGACCACAGGGAAAGAGAAACACTGATTCTATGAGCGTTATCCATTGGAGAGTTGCATGTATCATATATTTCATTTAAGAAATAAGAACAAACTTTTTACAAAAGTAAATAGATAAAACAATGTATAGTGAATTTCATATCTTACAGTAATTTTACAGTTACACACTCCAAATTCTTAGGTTAAAATGAAATAACAAAATTCGCATGTGCTCGTATTGTAAAACATACAAAAACTGCTTTTTTTGTAGACAGTCGACACTGAACATGATCTATTCAGTGATTTGGTCTGGGAATGAACTCAGACAGTGGAAGGCATGCCTAAATTGGGATGAGGGAAACATAAGGTCTACAGATGTGAAGGTGATCAGATTACCTCTGCTTAAAACTCACCTGTAATGCATTTGAACTGACACATGGCCTTGAAGGCATCAGAAAGACATGGAATAGTGTGGAAGAGAAGAAACGAAGGTAAGAACTGCAGGTGGTCTTTGCATGGATATGAGGAACAAAATTGCCGGTAGCCCATTGTTATTTTGGCTAAGATGTAAAAAATAAATAAATTAAAAAGTGCTAAATAAAATTGTGTGACAGATTCAGACAACAAAGAGGTTGAGAAAAGTGATAAGAAGAGATGAGAGGTTCTGTTATTATGTTAGGGAATGGAACCACAGCCAACCTCTCCTCCAAACAGTCTGTTATTATAGCAGTTTTTTCTTTTACTTTTCTTTTTTTTTTTCTTCTCAGAGGTATTGACACATTCCTCAGAAAAAAATGAGAACATAGCAGAAATTAGTTATATTACCCAGTAGTTTTTGTCTAGAATAGAGACCTTGTAGAAAGCGATTAAACAACATGTTGATTGAGATGGGAGAGGAATGTATTCTCTGCTTCGTTGAATACAAAACAAATCATTTTAAAGCACTGCAAGCTGTTATTACATTTGTTTTAATAAAAGTCTATCAACTTACTTGAAAATAACAATAAAAATTAACAGATTTTAACTTCGAACATATTGAAATAAAAACTAGTGACATTTTATGCTTTGCAATATTATTATATTATGTTACCAGTAAATATAACATGAGCGGCTTGGTTTTACCTCTGTAGGATCTCAGACCTCTTCTGACTTCAGCTTCACTACTATATTCACACCAGCTAGCTTTGACAAAAGCATCGCCATGTGTTTTCTTTGCATATTCCTTTTCTTCTTCTCCCCCCCCCCACCATGTGCTTCTATGGGAAAGGGTAGACAGTGACGTCACTATAGGGCTGGTCTGTAGTTTATTAGTCAGCGCGAAGTGCCAGGTTAGAACTCAGACAAGGCTCTGTCCAGCCAGCTCAACTCAACTTAACCACCTCAATTCTTCAGAGGGATGTCTTTCCTATAAGTTTAACAAACTGAGGCATTGACCCAAGTTCTACAACTTTTAACTTTCTTAATTACTCTTTGCTTACTTTTAACCAGTCTTTAAAGGTGTCTTGTTTAAGAATTAGTGCGCAACACTTTTAGAGAAGACAGGCGCGTAGTGAAACATCCACATTTGGATTATAGTTTCTGTTTCTCGTCTTTCAGTTGAGAAAACCCGACTCGTGATGGTTGTCCTGTCACTTAGGTTACTAATGGTAGGAGTTGTAGTAGGTCTGACTTCAGCTCTTCTGGTAAGTGTTAATGATTTACTGTTTCTGCACGTAAAGTTGTATGAAAGTTATCTATAAGTGAAAGCTCGCGGGACATGTTTGGGGCTATAACAGTCGCCCTCCCGCTTGGGATACGATTAGAATTCAAATAAATCTGACTGAAATTTAAGCTGGTTTTCAGAATATCTACACCAGTATTGTGTTTATTCTGTCTCTTCGTATTATGCAGAGTACGTAGAGAAAACGTATCAACCAAATACTAAAGAGAACTTGCGCATTTTAGGAGTGTTCCCAGCTGTCAAACCAATAGCCAAACTGTCCGAAAGTTGGCATGGCAGAAAACACGTGAAATATGGCAAGCTGTTTTCATATTTATTCCTTTAATAGCCTATTTCTTACTATCTCAGTTGTCTAGTAAGTAAAAAAAAAAAAATGTTTTACTAAAACTTATGAAACTATAAATTAGCAATTTTGACTAGTAGTTACACAAGAAATGTTACTAATAACAGCTGGAATGGGATACTAATGTCAGATAAATAGGTACGAGTATCTAATAAGTATCAGAAAATCTGAAATAGATACTAGCAACAATCTGGATGTTATAGTAGTAACAAAAAGTACTAGTAGTTCACCTAATGAATAGATAATAGTAAAAATAGATATGTAGCAACAGTTGGAGAACTTGTTGGAAGTGAATAGTTTATATCTGAACCACAGTAGCAATAACAATGGAAGAGTTGCTTATTCCTTTGCTTCTGGTCACTATTCGGTTTCATCCTAGAAATTGAAATTAAGTAGTAACATAAAAATAGATACCTATTAGTTTAAAGGAATACATGTAAAATGGCTTGCCACAAATGAAATTGAAAGTTAAATGTCAGATTTGGATATACTCATGACAGTTTTACATCCACTATGGTTTCTCTGGTTCTACCTATGGTACTTTCTCAGCTTTTTTGTAAATGTCTTGGCTGCATTTTTTATGCATCGTCTCTTTATCTCTTTGTTCTCTTTTTCTTGCAGGCTGGTGAAATTATAGATAAAAAAGGTAACGTATACAGCCTTGTGGTCCTCAAACTTTGTCCACTACTATTGTGCTCGTTTTGTTTCTCAAATTGTTTTTCAGGGTGAAAGTCATTTTATAACTTTTGATGCTTCTTTAATAATTTATGTACAGCTGCAAAGTAAGAGTCACACTGTGCCAAGGCATATGGTGTTTAACTGTTATCACTTGCATCTTCTCCTCTCAATGTTTAATGACAAATATTTTGATCAGAAAATTAATCAGAATTGTTAAGCCCTAAGGACACCCTAAGAGATGATGCAAGCCAATCTCTTGAGAACTTTTAACAGACTTTAACACCTATAATAATAGTCTGTTAATTAAAGTTGGGAATGACAAGCAAATTGCACAGGATAATACATTATTTAGCAGCTAGACTTAAAATGATTAATTTTGTTTCTCTTTTTTAATGAACAGTGGGATAACTTTAAGAAGTTAATTGTACACCATAAAAACTCACACTTGATCCCTTACATTTAAGTAAATTCAAAGTAGTGTCAACATCACAACCTCCAGTGATGAGTTCAGTGCACTTTTTCAACCACTTTGAATTTAATTACTGATGTAGAAAATCTTATTTTTTTTATTATTCAAAATGGACCCATTAGACTAGAGCAAGTATTTCTCAGGCACAGGACTTGCATATATTTACATGTAACATGAGATGCGAATAAATTCATTTTTAATATAATCAAGATACATTCTACATGTTTGTCTTATGTTTTATCAGACTTGTTGAAGATCCGTCTGAAAGAGTATGGCCTCATTACTCCCATCAGTACGGATGCAGAGGGACACTACCTCTCGCATCTTCTCTCAGCCAATCACAAGCAGCGTGTGAAGCGTGAGCTTTTGGAAGGGTCAACGCAAGCGGTAGACAGACTGTTCTTTAACATCACTGTCTTTGGCAAGGAATTCCACCTCCGACTACATCCCAACCAAAGATTAGTGGCTCCAGGATCTATGGTGGAATGGCATGATGAGATCGAAATAGCTGGGAATGTAACTGAGAATGGAACCCACTCAGAGAGAATACTTAGAAGGGAGTTGCTGAAAACAGACTGCACTTTTATAGGGGACATCACGGATGTGCCTGGAGCTTCTGTCGCTATTAACAATTGTGATGGACTGGTGAGTGTTGTTTCCTTCCTAGTATATTACTTTTGGCACAAATGACAAAATGTAACAGAAACTGTAAAGCGTTAGATTTGTGTAGTTACTATAATGGCTTACAATCTATTTTGGCCTATTTTCATAATTCATATGGTAAATGGTCTGCATTTATATAGCGCTTTCACAGACCCAATGGCCACCAAAGCACTTTACATTTGCCTCACATTCACCCATTCACACACCGACGGCGGTGTCTGCCATTCAAGGCGCCATCCAGCTCGTCGGGAGCAGCCGGGGTTAGGTGTCTTGCTCATGGACACCTCGACACTTGGTCAGGTGGAACCGGGGATTGAACCACCAACCTTCCGGTTTGTAGACAACCTACATGAACCACTGAGCCACTGCCACCCCAATTCATAATGCCAATGCAGTTTGGTTTGTAAACTTTTATGGAAATCCTCACTGGAATTTAGTGGTGAGTCATTCCTTTCCACCCCCCACCCACACAATATTTGAAGTTTGCATTATGTTTGGCATTTTCTTTATTTCTATACTATAAAGGGACAGCTCACTCCTTCGTCTACTAATTCTCATGACTCTCAAGCAATAGAGCAATATTACGTCAATATAAACAAGTCAGTAATTGTTTTAATTTTATGGCTGGTAATCAACAAATGGCCAATAATAAAATGTTACATTAATAAACTTTTCTAAATAAAAAAACTAATGTTACGATAGACTGTGAAAAGATATACAAGCAGCCCAGAGCCATTTGTTGAATTACAAGCCCTCTAAAGCCATCCAATAGCTTTGTGTGAGAAATGGTCTGAAATTTATCTCAATTGTCTCAAAGTTATTCATTGAAAATATTGCTTATAGCTCAAATGAAAAGGGATTAATTTCCTTTTCAGCAGATGCTGTGGTGAGGATGGTACAAATCCACTCACCTGCCAGTTTACAAATCAGATCATTCATGGAAATTGTGCTGTGTGTCTTTTGGTCTTTCCACTTCCTCACAAAATACTATGTGAGCTTGAGGCTAGTACCCAGAGTGATAGTGGAGTTGAGTGAACTGTGGATCACCCCAGGAAGCTGACAAATAGGATGAAGCTGCTCTCCCCAGGGCCTGTCTAACATCAGAGGAAAGCTTTACTCTTCAACAATAAATAGAGAGGTCAAATTGGGAAAATCAATTTCGCATAGACTTCCAAAGAGTTTACGCAGACAAGCATGGGCAAAGGAGTGATGGCTATGTTGATGAGTTACTCAGTGGGAAAATATGTTTTTTTGGAATCAAGCAGTGACACTCGATCTCTTTGGAATCAAGTGGAATGTGTCAGCTTCTACAAATTAACTTTTCAGATAGACCTATACAAAAATAAAAACATTGACAAAAAATTGTTGTAAAGCCATGTAAAAGAAGCTGTTTGTCAGATATTAGTAGCATTTTGAGTGGATGCTTTATTTTTTTAGGATGCAATAAAATCAAAGAAATAGAAATTCAGAATTTGACTAAATATGACTTGCGAAGGACATTTGCTGTCTTTGCTCTGACCTCCTCAGTAAAAAAATAATCTTAAATCAATCACTCATAAAGATCATCAGACTACTCTCACTACATGCTGTATATTTGTTATTTTTGTAGCCTGCTAGAACAACTCAATTGAAAGTCGTGTTTTCTCACTAGTCATTATATTGATTCAGATATTGATTCAGTAACTGCTCTGGGGTGCGTTTCCCAAAAGCATTGTTTGCCAACTATGGTCGCAAATTCCATCATTATCAGCATAGTTCAACGAGTCTATTTCCTAAAACCATAGTTCCAATGAACATTCGTAAACAGCACCGCAAAGTTGTGTGGTCTGAACGACAGCTCTCGACCTGTGGTTAGAAGCATAGTTTCTTGTTTGCTTGACATGTGGGCTTAATAAATTCTTATCTTTAACAAAATAAGCAAGCTGACATTCAGTACTATCTATATATTTTATTTACAATGTATACACATTTCATTTACGTCTTTTAGTTTATCAAGAGATATAAAACACCATTTTTGAGTGTGCATGTGCGTTCGTGCTCTAGTACGTAAGAAGGAGCCTATGTTTGAAACTGGAAATAAAGCAAAATAACTGAGAAAATTTGAATTAGTCCTCAGATGCCATGCCCGTAATTTATAGCAAAACATCAACGGATTCATTAAAAGTAGTTATTACACCACCACCTGCGAGACATCATTAACCAACAAGGTTGAACAAAAAAATTGCGACAATACGGTTTTGGGAAACATTCTTGAGTAGCTGGTTGATTTCTTTAACGATGCATTGTTCTATGGTAGTTAAGCAAGCCCCCTGATGAATTAATTGAGTTCATTCATTAAATTTGTCAGACCAATTTAAATTGGTAATTCATGAGTTTGCAATTCTTTTTGAATGTTCATTAAAATAACTGCTTAAAAGTTTAATTTGGTCATGAATTGGTCTACACTACATGCTATATGTTTTGATTGCAGCCCACAAAGGCCCCTAAATACAATTGTTTTTTCTCACTAGACATTATAGTGAGTCAGATTCAGTATCTGCTCTGACTTATTCAGTGAAGGATTCATCAGACTCATTAGAACTGCAATGTAACTCCTGAGTTTGATTGTACATACTGTGTAAGCTGAACCATTCCATTTGAACTGACTTCTTCTTTAGACATTTTCCTTTAGCTCTGAATGTTTAAATTGTCTTAACATAACATCAGATTCAGTGCTATTGTGTGACCTTTGAAACCTTGACTGTGTATTTCTTCAAGACCCAGTGAGGTTTTTGTAGCTTTACATTTTCCACCTAAACTCTTCCATTTCCTTGAGTAATGGATCAAATGCTTACGTGGACAGTCTTTGATGTAAAGTGGCACTCAGAGTCGACACCAAGATATGTTTCACTGGTCTTAATTACAGCCACTGTGGATCTTGAAGTCTTCACATGTAGCCCGTGAAGCAGTTATTTCCTCTCTGAGCTGAGAGGTTGTGGGGGTTGGAGGGATGATTTTAGCTGGGGGAGGAGGAGGAGGAGGAGGAGGAGGAGTGGGAGGCTCACTTACATGACACAGGCATGTTTCAGGCTTGTGAACATTCCTCTGAAAGTGGAGAAAAGTGAACGGTTCTGTTTCTGCTTAGCAACTCAACAAGGTCTCGGAATGTCAGCAGAAATACTTTGGTAGAAATATCAAAGATCCAAGCCATTGCCCATTACCTTTCCACTAGGGACCAAAAAAGGGTCAGCAGTCCCAAAGCAATGGGAATGATCCTTTGCTAATCTACAGCTCTGTGTCACTCATAGCTTGGCCTCTTTAATGCATAGTGCTATATTCTGTGGCCAGGGTGCTGAATGAGGCTCCTCACTCATTGATGATCAGAGCTGGCTGTGTTACTGAACTCCTGGCTGAGCTTCACACGGGAGGCTGGCTCTGAGCCAGAACTTCATCCCCAATGCACCTTTGTCAGGAGAATAATGACATTAATGGTCAGAGGAGTCTGTGTTCTTCTGCCCACACTGCCAGTAACAATCCAACATGTTCAGTCTTTTGCAGATCCACTTTAGTGCTGAGATGACTTTGAACTTCTCTGTTTTTTCCCCCATCATGCCTTGAATTCCTCTAAGAGTTCAGTTCACTGTTCCAAGACCTAGTAAGCTGACAAACAGTAATTTGTATTACTCTACTGTACATAGACAACCAGAAGCTACTTACAGCATAAATGTATATAACACCCATAATTTTAAGAATCAGTAGTTTTCAGGATTGAATAAATATTCATCAACGATGCATTAAATTGATCTACAGTTACTTGTGATGGAAAGAGTTAAGACTTTTACATTGTTACAAAGATTTCTAATTCAAATAAATAAACTCTAAAAAGGTTATCTTGGTTTCCACAAAAATATTCAGTCAAGTCAAGTCAAGTCATCTTCATTTATATAGCGCTTTTAACAATGAATTGTTTCAAAGCAGCTTTACAGAGATAAACATATAATTTAAGGTAACAGATTGTTTTGGCGTTATAGCGATTCTTGAATAATGTTACTTCCAGCTAAAGTTAACTTTGATTGATTCACCTCCGTCGAAATGATCAGACTTTAAACGCGAACCTGTGATTAACGCTGACGGCGTTCACATGCTCATTCAGAATTCTATAGTTATGTGCTTTTTAAAATATGTGCGCAGGTTTGTAATTCATACAACCCAGCCTAAACAAACTACTTTTCTTGCCTGTAAATTTTGATACAGAATTTTGTTTTATTTTTTTTAATTTTGTTTTATTCAGCAGCACAACTGTTTTCAACATAATTCAGCATATTAGAATGATTTCTGAATGATCATGTGACACTGAAGAGTCATGATGCTGAAAATTCAGCTTTGCCATCACAGGAATAAATTAGCCTACATTTTTAAATATAATAAGTAAACACAATTAATTTAAAAATGACTGTTTTACTGTATTTTTGATCAAATAAAGGCCGACTTGATAAGTAATAAGAGACTTGTTTAAAAAACGTTAAATAATCTCACAGGCTTCAAACTTGTGAACAGTAGTGTATATATGTTAATTTAGTGAAGGATTTGTCAAACTGATTCAAATGGGCAACCGCATTTTTTATTTATTCATCAAAAGAATCACTCATAAGAGCCATTAGTTATTCATATGTTGATTCAGTAACTGCTCTGATGGATTCAGTGAAGGATTCATAATCGTATATGAAAATTATTTATTTAGCCGTGACTGTATATTTAGTGATTTTGGAGGGAGCAGGAAACACTGCTGTTATAACAGCCTGGTTAGGATGTAAGTTGGAGTTGCAGTTCAGAGAGGAAAACTGTGCTGTTTTTTTTTTTTTTTATCAAGTTCAGACACATTGGCTGCACGACCTACATCAAACAGAAGTGCCAGTGACCAAGCAGTGCATGAGACCTGAACTGTCACAAGTGGGTGTAAGCTGTTTTAAGAGCAAACACATATCTGCTTTCTGACATCTCTG